TATCTGTGACAGCCGAGTGACAGCTGTATGTAGTGTTCTCGGTCACCACCCAGTGAACTTTAAGAAGCAACAGACCACCACCCAACAGCAACCACACCACAACCAAACCAAGCAGAAGAGAAACAGGAAAACAAGGAAAACGAGAACAAGAATGGCAAACAACCAAGAACATACTGACAACCAATCCAGCAGGAGACCCTCAAACGCTCACCAGTCCAACCTATCCAACCAACTCGCCGACCTCCGCCAGTCCTACCACCAAGCAGGCTCAACACCACCCATACAGAATATCCCACCTCCACCCAACAACAACAACAACAACAACAACAACAACAACAACAACAACAACAACTTGTTCCCAAATGAGAACATCAGGAACTCATACTCATCAACTTCACCACTCTCGAATACCAACAACCAACTCAGTCATAGCAGTCGAAATATTCATGAGCTCACCAGGAACTCATCTTTCAATTCACCACATATCCCCTTCACCTCCTCCTCATTCAAGTCCATCTCCCGAATCCCTGGCGAACAACAGTCTACGAATTCCTATCGTGAGTCGATCATCGAGGACCTTACCGACCAACAGAAGGCACAGATCGTCCGTCGACATCTGATGACCAAGGATGAACAGGAGGCCGCCCGACGAGTTCAGGAGGACCCGAGTGGCTCCCAGCTCAGACCGGGATCGATCAGAAGTAGCTCGGCTGCCTCCTCGGCCTCGCCCGACCATCGATCGACCATCGCTGGCACTGACCAAGCCTCACTGCTCGTCGACGACGACTCGTATCCCAGTCCGTTCCATCTCCAAGGTGGTGACATCCATCACGCCGTGTACAAATGGGCCAATCGCCAACAACATCAACAACCAATACCAAGCTCAAGCCAACTCCCAAATGACTCTCGCTTCAATAGTCTCGCCCTCAACCGCACCCGTTCTGTCTCCATGTCCGGAAGCCTCCGTCCTTCTGAAATAGGCCTCCCTTCCGGCCCCGAGCATCATAATGATGACGCCCCTAATCTTGTCTATAAAGACATCATGCAACCCGGTGGCTTTCGTCGTGCTTTCTTGCATCAGAAACGGGCGGCTATTGGAAAGCCTTATGAACCTAGTGACGGGAGACGATTCACGAAAAGGTTCATACCATTCAACCATCTAGTTAGGAAAAGAAAAAGAAAAAGTTGTTGACTTGTGATCTATCTGGGGTTTTTCATATAGTTTTATCGATTTTCTTTCACTTTATGGTCATTTTGGTGGAGAAGATTTGGAGGAGATAGACGAAGGAGAAGAGGCAGCGTTCCGAGCGTTACGCCGACAGACGACGTTAGAAGAAGGGTCATCGTTTGAGGAAGAAGAGGAAGAGGAGAGTGGAGAGCATAGTACATTACTAGGCCGATCAGGGCGACGAGTCACAGGAGCAGGAGCAGGAGGAGTACAATCAAGTGGAGGACGTGCTCGAGGAACAAAGAAGCCGAAATCGGGGGTTTCGAGCAGGTATCCCGGCTTCCAGGACGGTAGTAATGGCGACGCGAGCGTCACGCAGGCAGTCTTCATGCTCCTCAAATCCCTCGTTGGAACCGGCGTCCTCTTCCTCGCCAAAGCCTTCGCCAATGGCGGCCTCCTCTTCTCCGTTCTCACCCTTGTCTTCATCTCTATCATCTCCCTGTTCTCTTTCGTCCTGTTAGTCGAAACCCGATTACAAATCCCTGGTGGATTCGGTGGTCAGCATCCGCTCTTTTTTTTTCTTTTTGGTTCAGATTGCATTAAAAACCCCCTTTTTTGATGTGTTTTTTTTTCTTTGCTGAACATTTATTCATAGAAATCGGAGGGATTCTTTATGGACCATGGTGTCGACGAACGATTTTATTTTCATTAGTGATATCACAGATAGGATTTGTGGCAGCCTACACGATCTTTATTGCCCAGAATCTGCAAGCGTTTATACTAGCGGTGACGGATTGTGCGAGTTATGTTCCGATCTGGGTGTTAATCTTTGGACAGGTGATCGTCTATCTACCCTTAGCGATGATCAGGAATATCCAGAAGCTTTCAGGGACGGCCCTTGTCGCCGACGCCTTCATCCTCATCGGCCTCCTCTACGTCTTCGGCTTCGAGCTCCATTCGATCGTCACTAAGGGCGTCCCTCCCATCGTCATGTTCAATCGCGAAAGCTTCCCACTGTTGATCGGAACAGCGGTGTTCACGTTTGAAGGAATCGGTCTGGTTGAGTCTCCTTTTTAATTAACAACATTAATCCTTCGTGTGTACTTACACCTTTGTGTATGAATCTGGTATAGATCATTCCGATCACCGAGAGTATGAAAGAGCCTCAAAAGTTCCCAGGCGTGTTAGCTGGAGTGATGCTTGCATTGACCGTCCTCTTTGCTAGTGCGGGCGCTTGGGGGCTATGCCGCCTTTGGCACCGAAGTCCAGTCCGTCGTCTTGCTCAATCTCCCTCAAGATAATCGGTTTGTCAATGCCGTCCAGTTCCTGTATTCGATGGCCATCATGCTTTCGACTCCTTTACAACTGTTTCCCGCTGTCGTAAGCACCCCCCCCTCTCTCTCTCTTTTCTTTCTATACATACACACAGATCAAAAAAGGATTTCGATCGCTGATCAAGCGACATCTTTTCGGACATTCATTCTTTCACAGAGAATTATGGAGAACGGCTTGTTTCAGTCTAGTGGGAAATACTCTAACCAAGTCAAATGGAAAAAGAACTCGTTCAGAACTTTGACTGTTTTTGGTTGTGCATTGATCGCCTGGATGGGTGCGGCAGACTTGGACAAGTTCGTCTCGTTAATCGGATCGATGGCTTGTGTTCCTCTCTGTTTCTGCTACCGTACGTCTCCTCTCTTTCTCGTCCAAGTTTTATCGTCACGTACTGAAATCATATTGGGTTCATTTTATCTATTTAGCCGCTATGTTGCATTATCGGGCTATCGCTAAAACCGCTCGTCAGAAATTCCTCGATATTTGTCTCTTCCTGTTCGGGTGCTTTGCGGCTGTTTACACTTCTTATCAAACCGTTAGTTCTCATTCTCTTCCTCTTCATTGAAAAAAAAAGACTGATGTGGATTTGGTGTTTTTGTTTTTTCAAGTTGGTTATGCTCATTAATAGTCCGAATACTCCCGGCTCTTCTCAACCGCCTAAGTTCGGTAATTGCGTCGTTCCTTAAACTTTTTTTTGTTCCTCTTAACTTTCATTTAGTTCGACTTTCCTTCTTTCTTATCCTTCTTCCTATACTGTGTCATACCCGCTCTTTTTTGTTTTGTCATCAGTATACAATTCGACCTCCCTCACATCTATACAGAAGAGAATCAAGTTACTCCCTTTATCTCTCTGTGATTCTCCCTTTTTTTTTCTGGTTCTTTCATGTAGATATATCCTCCATTACAAATTAGAAATGACTTGAAAAATTAAACCAACAACAACAACAACTCAAGATGATATGAACGATCGGTATAGATAGAGAATTAACACTTTTTATAACAGCCTAACGTCTTCGCAATCTCGTTGTACCTTCAGATCTTCCTCTACGTGTCTCTCTCTTATAAGTTCTCTCTTTCCGCCATTCCTGATTCGCTGTTTTTTTTTTAGTTTTTCGACTTGAATTTTGTTCAATAATTTCCTTCCATTCTTTCATCTTTTTGTGACTTCCTTGTTCCCTTCATTTCATTACTTGGTCTCTTACATAATCGTTCTTTTTCTTATAATTTGTTTTATAATTTTTGACCGGTTTTTTTTTTGTTTTGTGTGTGTGAAGATTCTAGAAGAAGGAAATTGATGGAGTATTTTGTATATGTACACTATAGAGAAGCAGTTGGTGACAGAGGAACAGGAGAGTGGTCACTCTCAGGTTTAGACAGGCATAGCAGTTCAGGTTAGGTTGGAAAAGAAACATGATCATACATATTTATGATCTGTGACGCTTTTGTCTGGTGGAGAAATACACCGTTTGGATTTGCAACTTCCCTAGCCGACCAGTCTGGAGAAGTTGGTCAGCTGCTCAGTAATTCGTGGAACTTGGGATCACACACAAGTTGAAGTTTTGATGAGGATACACCACACTGGATCTTCGAATGGCCCCACCGAGCGTGGTTCCCTGACGAGCGATCAAAGCTTCGTCATCTGGGCTATATTCCTTTGGAGTCCTTCATTCTCCGTTCAGTTTACTCAACTCAGTCTCCTCAGTCATCCAGTTCAACCCTTCAATCACTTCAGTGTTTTTAGTTTAGCCTTTTTGGAGTTGCTCTTGTTCCTGGAGTTATTTCATGGTAAACATTTGCCATAATACTACTAAAATATTCAAAAATAACTTGTAAGAAGATCGATGATTTTAAATTGAAAAGATTGATTTTATGAACAGACCGATCGATTGAAAAAGCGACAATTACGTCATAGCTCCGTGCTGAGATGTCCGAGCGGTCTAAGGAGCTGGATTCAAGTCTTGATCAGATCTACATCAGAGAATACTTACATGTCGAGAACACGTGTGCATCCCAGTAGAGAAATCTGCGGGGGTTCGAATCCCCCTCTCAGCAGCTTCTTTTTGTTCCGGGTGATCATGATGAATGAATGATGGTATATTGATCTTCTTTTTTCCCCTCTTGTGTCGATGGAAATGGTTTGGTGAAACAAGAAAAAAAAAATGGCGCGGGTCATGACCTCATACATAAAAGGCTAACGATTTCAGATTTGACACCGATATGATTGTGTGTTATAATAACGCTTGGCAATTGATGCTAGTGATTGATGAATCTATGTAGCTCTTATTGCAAAGGATTTAGCATTTATTTGCTTTGTTTTGAAGGGTTTGAGAATTCATGCCCGATGATCGAGTTCAGTAATTGAAATCTCTCTGATTCTTACTAGGGACTACCGGCTCTTGTGCGAAGCAGTAGGAAGATGGGCTTTATATTTGTGTTATGTTGTCAAGTCGCGAGATGGGAGTCAATCATATCTACAACATTGATGATGTACAAGGATGAGAGACAAAAAAGAAGAACCAAAAACTGATAACATAAGGAAGAAATTGAAGCGGTTTGATGAGCTCATGAAGCCCTCTTTGTCGAGCAGTGACTCTTGCAGCATCAAAGCTTATCGAAGTATGTTGGGTTGCGCAGAGTTGATCATCTACAGGAAAAATGCCGAGTGGATAATACGAGTTGCTTCAAACGGGCCGTTTATCCGCCGACGTTCTCGAAAACCGGATCAGAAGTCCACGGAGGAACTGAGCATAAGGGCGTGGGTGATGCGAGCGACGGGATCTGAGCGGGAAGGTTGTGAGGTATGTCGAGCTTGTCTTTTCCAGTTACGACGAAATCGTGTTGGTTTGCCAGTCGGGCCCTAAGGATGACTATGTAGGCTGTGCATGTTGTTGTCCCTCATTATCTCTGGTCCAGCCGTGGCAGCCAGAGCGATCGTCGGCAGACTTGTTTGTGATAAAAACAAGACGCAGGGCAAAGAAAGAAGAAGAACGAAAAATGAGAAACTTTTTACTTACACCCAATGAACCGACGAGTCGAAGAATAGAGGAATCAAGCTTCTTGGAAATCGTCCCAAATGAAAGAGTCGGGGCTTGATGATAGCGCGGATAACACCCGCTGAGGCTGAGGCTGAGCATTTCAGGATATGACCTGTGCTGATACCCATTAAAGGGAGCCAACCAGAAGGACCATGGGCAGATATGGCTGCCGGTCTGAGTACATGGCTGAACGAGGGACATGTCCCCGATCACATGTCACATCTTTTCAGTTCGGCAACGACACTCGAGTAAACGAGTTCGCTGAAAAAAAAAGTGCGGATCCAATCAGTCTTCATATTATTACTAAGAGTTCACCTGAAGGAAATATCTTCATTTTGTAGATGAACAACACGACCACTTACATCCTACATCGATCAGCCTTCGTTGATCAAGAGCTCGTCATCCGTGGTTCAGAATCACACTTACAAGTTGGTTGCAGGATATGTCCTCTAGTCCAACCTTGCTGGAAACACACAGCTGCAGGTCACGATCATAAAAAGGACACCAGTTTATCAGTCGGGACTTTGTTTTTCATAGGATGGGCAAGAGAAGTTTTTGTTTTCCGAAAGATGTGCCTACCTCTATAAAAGTGAGCAGGAAACGTCCTCGAGACGATCTCTGGCCACGGGATATGCCCCGGCCTGCCTGGAGATGTCGATCTCTGGCCACGGGATATGCCCCGGCTTGCCTTGAGATTTCCAGTAAAAAATTGACAGCGAATCTGTCAATGCTCTATAAATCAGACGAAGAAGGTTACCAAGGGGGAAAAAAGGGATCAATGGATCAGAGAGAGGATTCTATCAATCATTTGATCAGGATTGAACTACGTACCTCCAATGATTCGAGCAGGAAGTGTCCTTGAGACGATCTCTGGCCACGGGATATGCCCCGGCCTGCCTGGAGATTTCGATCTCTGGCCACGGGATATGCCCCGGCTTGCCTTGAGATTCTGAGCGAAAATGAAAGCAACGATGTCAGCAAAACGATATAAAGGATGATAAAGCAAAGATCGAGCTCACCAAGGGATGAAATGATCGAAATGAGGGAAAACCGATATCGCGCTCGCAATACTTCTGCAGATATGCCTGCCGGTTGATCGAGAGTGAAAAACACGAGAAAACGGCGACAATTGCTCCACATATCTCTGGATAAGGCCAAGTGAGCAAGTCGTGGTTGATGATGGATACCTGCGAACATAGATAATATGATAAGTTAGTGTTAGTAGAGGATGGATCAGCCCTGCCGTCAGTTTTTATCACATAGTAACAAGTCTGCCGATTTGATCACGCTCAATGTCGCTATCGGCTGCTGGCTGGATAAGAGAAGCTCAAAGAAATTTGATCAATTCATCGTTAGTTCGTGCATGCCAATCAGGAAACTTCACCTGCCCTTCTTCTTGTTGACGTTTGGTCTAGGATGCGAAGAAGCATCAAAAGATCATGCCGATCATCATATGTTTGCCGGTAGTGGTAGAAGATGATGAGACTGTTTGAATTGAAGCTCGTATAGATATGGAAGGGAAAGAGGTTTAGGATGATTATGGAAATCGCGATTGCTTGAGAGCAGGCCATTCCGATCAGGTACCTCTGGATGACAATATGAAGTCTGTTGTACTCTGATACGGTTGGAGTAAGAGTTATAGGACGTTTGTCTTTGAAAAGTGAACAGAGAAGAGTCATTCCCTTCGATGTGAGGGCAGGGCAATGTTGGTAATGAGTGATTGGACGTGTTATCATAATATGATTGATACTCGTGACAGTCAAATAAGATAGGGTGGGAATCATGCCGAAAAGAGAGTAGCGATGAGCAAAACAGTCATGATGCTTCAAGCGTCGGCCGTTTGAAAAATCGAGCACATCCAAATGACAATATATGAAGTCGATGGCGCTAGAATGCGACCGGATTGCAGATTGTTTCGTTTTTGGATTTCCTCAAATGTATTATGAAGACAAGATCCGTCGCCTTTCCTTCCAGGAAATGGCAAGATTGACACATCTAGAGTCAGGAAGCAAATTGAGCACATCGTCGATCGAAGGAGCTATCATGATATGGTCGATAATCTCGAATTGATTTCCGGGGGGGGGGGGGGGGTGAGGTTCAGATTAGAGGGGGTGGAATCGTCCTGAAGGATAGAAGGGAAGATAACTGCGATGGTGATGCTTCATGAGCTGGCCATTCAAAATATCAAGTACATCCGAATGACAATATGAAGTCGATGGCTCTGGAATGCAGCCGGATTGCGGATAGAATGCTTGCGTTCTCCGAATGTGTTATGGAGGGAAGATCTATTCCCTTTGCTTCAAGAGAAGGGCAAGGTTGAGAGTGAGTGATCGCACGTGTCATCATGATCTGATTGATACTCGCGAATTGGTTGGCTAAGCTGGGTGACAGTCAGATGGGATAGGGTGGGATGATTCCGAAGGAAAGAAGCGAGAAGACATCTAATCAAGATGCTGAATAGTAGAACCCTGAATTCTGCCTTTCTCTAATGCAACCCGACCATGATCACCTAGGCTGTCAGTCTTCAAGCAATGTATGGGGGATTGATTTCCTCTTCGTGAGAAGGATGGTTGCGTGGTCTAGAGCGGAAAAGAGGAATTGGGACCAAAGGAATCACTGAGGGAAGGAGTTGTCATGATATGATTGACGTTCGCGCCTTAGTTGACATGGATAGCCCAAGGTCAGGTTCAGACGGGATCCTTTTGAAGGAAAGAAGCGAGAATATGGATAGGGTGGGATGATTCTGAACAAAAGAATCGAGAAGACATCTAATCAGGATGCTGAATAAAACTCGGAATTATGTCTTTCTCTGATGCAACCGCACTATGATCACCTAGGATTGCCGTCTTCAAACAATGTATGGGGGATTGAGTCCCTCTGCGTGAGAAGGATCATTGAGTGGTCTAGAGCCGAAAAGAAGAGGAGTTGGGACCAAAGGTATCACTGAGGGAAGGAGTTGTCATGATATGATTGACGTTCGCGCCTTGGTTGACATGGATAGCCCAAGGTCGGTCAGGTACACGATCAGGCGGGATCCTTTTGAAGGAGAGAAGCGAGAATATATCTCAGTATGTATAAAGGGGAAAGGGAAGCGATGATGGTTTCAGCTCTTGGAATGCAAGGTTACTTGACTTCTAAAGCGCAAAGGGATGGAGAAAGTGGGGGAAGGGGAGGGAGAGAAGAAGCTCAAGGTGTTTAAATGGGAAAGAGCGAAAAATGCGAATTTCGAGAGTTGGAGGAAGATGGAGCTCAGGAACCTTTGGTGGGAGGAAGTGGGAGCAGAGGAGGTTCTTGGTGGGAGGAAGTGGGAGCTGGTGAGAAACAAACTCGAAATGGGTGGTCTTTTATAGCCTAAATCCAGTGCAAAAAAAAATCCCTCAACTGGCTGAGCCCAAAGGCACCACTGACGCAAGCAGCCCGAAGGGCAGTGGTGGATCAGAAGGAAGGCGAGTTTGTTTATTTTTCCGTTGAAGTCTACTTGACCCTATTTCCTTTGTGTAGAACGTTCCGCTAAACTTCTTAACGTTTTGTTTTACTAGTTTGTTTTTTGTTTGCTCAAAACTGGCCGTTGCAGAAATCACCCCCCCTTTGAATACGTACTCATAGAACCTACCTATGTACAGAGACTATTTGCCCATCGGCCTACCGTAATTGAAACCAGTGGCTATTGATCGTTGGGCTCTCAGCGCGCGATTTGCTTGGCCAAGGTTCGATTTCCGTGAGCAATAAGGCATTGGAAGAAGACTAATCAATGATCAAGGGCACAGTTTTCCTTTGTCAAACCCGCACAGTCGCAAGATTGCTGCTGCTTAAGCTAAGTGTTTTGCTTTCTTTCTTTGGCCACAGACAAAAGTCAAATTCCTTTGTATCAAATTCGGGGGGTTGTTACTAGCTGATTGCGAGACGTTGTATGAAATGCAACTGCATTAGAAATGCACAAATCATTTTACCAGCATCTATCCCCTCAGTCCAGGCTTAAGCGAGGAGTTCCCAACCGATTCTATGTTGTCTTTGGTTTCCAAATTGTGACATGTAAAACGCTCCCCCCAAGCAATCGAGAAGGTGAAAAAAAAACCAAAAAACTGGGTTTTAACAATTCATGCCTCTTAATTTATTCAGACAAGTCATCTGATTCTTGCTAGGGAATGCGAAGCAGTTGACATTTGGAAAAGTGTGTTATGCTGCTTATAATTGACAAGATGGAAGTCATTTAGATTATGATATACAAAAGAATAATTGACCAAAAAAAAACAGTATCATATAAAACATTGATCACGATATACAAAAAGAGGCACAAGATAAGGGAACTAAAACTGATATTCATGAGGAAGAAGAAGAAGAAGCCGTCTGATAAGCTGATCAAGCCATCTTTGTCGAGCGGTGACTCTTGTAGCAAGCGTTATTGACGGGGGAATATTGGTAGCCAGCTTTGCAGGAGACTAAAGATCCGAATGGAACGTAGGTGGGTGGGTCAATGATACTGATAACGACAACAATGATGGAAGCAGAGTGAAGAGGCTTACAAATCTTGCACTTGCCCTCTGAGCAACCGGCAGATGATACACCCTTAATTGTTGTGCAATCAGTGCCCTGACCAGTCGACACGCAACCACCACACGAGCTGACTTCTTGTAAGACGTCGAGACACTCGAATCCGGCAGTAAGCTTGAGGGGCAATCCGGAGGAGATTGGACAGGCGGAGAGCCCGGCGGGACACCTCTCGTCGACCGAAGGGTTTTTGGCGGCTACGCTCCGTCGGGGGAGACCACTTGGTTTCGGGCCGGAACAGCTTCGGTCGGAGGCTATGAAATGACATGTGACGGAGTCTTTAAGGTTAGCTGCCGGTCAAAAGAAAAATAGAAAAGAGCTCTAAACCCACGGCAGATTGAACAGTATCCAGAGCCTCCGTTCGAGTACAGCCCTTGGAACGCTTGCGCAAGAGGCGCACCGGCCCGGTTTTGGTTAAGGTAGTTGACCGCCTTCATCCGACAACTCCCATTCACAAAGCTGCAAGAGTCACATCCTAGATTCCGACCGAAGAAAAATTCAGCTCTCACTTTACTAGGAGGTAAGGGATAGAAGGTAACATACTTTGGTCGCCTGCACAGGATGCCGTACAACTGGCACTGGTCTTTGAGCCGGCCGACAGTCTGAGGAGGTCACCCTGTACAGATACGAAATCCAAGAAGGAAAGTCAGTCAAGGGTACGAAAACAATCCCCAAGTAAATATATAAAATACTAGCTTACGTCGATAGCGCTTTGCAAGACGGAAACCTGGCTGGCAGAGACACCATGGGCACTGATACTAGCCGCGAGGGCATTATAGAAGTTAAATTCGAAAATTTCGACGCCGAAGACGTTGACTCGACATTGCAGACAAAGATTGGCGTAGCCGGAGGCCGAGACCGGCGAGACTTGACCCCAGACGTTGCTCTCTAAGCCGCACCCGGCCGAGGCTTGTGCAGTGCCAGCGGAGACCTGGGCGGCCGTGTGCTGGCCGGCCGTTAGCTGGCCGGGTAAGAATTGTCCAGGGAACAGCTGTCGAGCATAGAGATGGGTACCCGTTGCTGAAGGAGCCATCGTCAACGGGAGGTCGTAGGCTGAGGCGGAAGAAAGAAAGGCGACTAATGCGAGAATCTGGATGGCCAACATATTTGCTGTTATGTATGGATATTTTCAAATAAGAAAGGCTGTGATGCTAGGCGGAAGAATGGATGCTTGTTGGAAAAATTACTAAAAGGAGGAACTGATAGGGTGATATGATATGGGATATACTGTGGTGTTGGCTCGACTGGGGAGTGTTGGATGGATTGTGAGCTGGGGAAAGAGAAGAATGAGTGCCGAGAGCTGGAGACTTTATAGGCGCAGAGACTCGCATCCTTCTCCATCTTCTGAGCGTGCAGCCAATTATTGGGCAGCGTCTTTCTGACTGTGACCAGCCCCAGTCCTAGACTATCGGAAAGGACAGATGAAGTTCTGGAATGGACTGACTGTCCAGATAATCTGGCCTTCTGAAGGGGAATGGCCAGCCATCTGTATGGTCTAGACTCACCAGACCCGGCATCCGAAGCTATTAGAGAGCCCAAGACCGAGCCGGTTTCAGGGCGGGAGCCAGTCCGACTGGTCATCTATCCCTTCCAGCCTTCTCCTCCTTGAATCTCTAACGTTTTCAGGCCAAACCGGCAAGTGAACTTGGGACTCCTGATTCGGGACGCTCGGGAGTTCCTCGCCCTCCAGCCAGCTGAACTCGTAGCAGGTGGGCGGTGTGACTGAGATTATCCATCAGCCGCTGCCGTCCTGGTGTTCACTCGCTCAGCCCCAGGACTTGATTCCTTGGATGCTCGCCATTGGTTAGAAACTTGAGGGAAATACTGTGATGAAAAGATTGTTCGGCACCTCATTCCGCATGTTTTAGAGTCAAGCTCATGGGGAATCTTGATCGAGATTCTTTCCCTAAAGCTGAAGGGCACACAATAGTTCATCCCATTACCGAACCACCTCCGTCAGATAGGCTGAATGCCATGATACGGCCCTGGTCACCACATGTCTTCATGACAAGGTGCGAAAGCTTTAATTAAGTGCTGTCTTGAGTTCAGTCGGCACCAAAACAGATATCTAAAACTTGAAGCAACACGCTGACCACCCATACCATCACAGTAGTGTGTATCAGTTGCTTGGGCAGAACTGCCTCCGGCAGAAACAGGTGCTCACTCTCAGTCTATCTTGCCGACAAAATACAAACCGGTTTGGAGGGGAGGTGGTTCAAACCTATGGCTATGACCTCTGCTCTTGAAGAAATAGGCGTAGCCACCTGTTTGTTCATGGGGGTTCTCTCTCAGAAATAAAGAGGTATAAACACTTTTGAGAATTCACTGCAAATATTTAAATTATATGCAACAAGGAGACAAACTGAAGGAAAAAGAACAAGAAACATGGGTTTTTAAACTAAAACTAAGTGGTGTAGACACCAGTAGAGATTAGAATAGGTGGTTGAGAATGAGTTTGGATTCAATGGCCAAATGAGGTGAAAGTTGTCAAAGAGTTGAAGTGGTTTTGCAGTTTATGCCTCACTTTTTCCAGACATAGCTGTAAGGAAATAATTGGAGGAGTGACTAATGCTGTCCCAACCGACTTGACATGATTTGTGTTTTCAAATTTTCATTCCCATAGAAGAAAATGTTATTGAGAAATTTCTTGGCAAATTGGTTAATTTTCATTCTATTTTTTTCCTTTAACTTCTCCCAAAGACTTTTATATTCTCTTTCCATCCAAACTTCCAGAAAATGCCATAGAATTGAAATTGATACATTCTTTGTACCTCTAGTGCTTGAGAGAATGAATTCCTTCCTTTCTTTCCAGAGGTCCATTTCATCTGACACAGGTTGATCCAAGTATTCCTTGAATTCTTGGAAAACTTTAATAGCTTTTCTCATTTCTAAGGGATAGTCTAACTTATCTTTTGTTTGCTGGTCTTTCTTGTAAGGAATCATTGTGATGATCATCTCAATATAAAATAAGAAAACAGGGAAAAGATAGGGAAAGTCAAAAAAAATCAAATCATCCTTCAGGTCTTTGATATCAATATTTATATGCTCTGCCCAATATCCACACCATATATCTAAATCATTCATGAACATTTCCATTTTATCTGGAAGCTCAGGTGCTGATACCCCTTGGTGGATTTTCTTCAAAACCCTACAAGTTTGACAAAACTCCTTTTCTCTTAAAACAAATTCTTCTTCCCTAGGTTTTGGGATCAATTTTAGAATTTTTGCAAGATAATTGATGTGGTTTTGCGTTTGGGAGTTATTTTCACCTTTTAAAATTCTCATGTCAAAGTTTAATCTTCTCAAATTAATTTTTCTGGTTTCTGGATAGCATGTTTTGAAAATTGTTGTACTTTCCATCTTGACACTCAACTTTCCAGGCAATATTTCTTGTTTATCTGAATTAGTCAGAATCCTGTGTGGCTTTTTAAATGACTCCGAATTTTCTGGTCTTGAGGAATTCAAAGAAAATCTTTCATTTTTCTGAGAAGATTCCACAGAATGAAAAACTCCCTGTGAGACAGCTTCCTTTCTTTTAGTGCCCCTGGGACCATCATTTGTTTTTACTGAGTTTTTTGGTCCAGGTATTCCATTAGGTTGATGATGTATTTTTGTACTGGAAAGATCATTTTGTAATATTTTGTTCTTAAACAGTATGAAGAGGTTCCTGGCTTCCTTTCTTTCTTGGTGGGATTTTGAAGAGGCTGCCCGATAATTGACTGAGGAGCATGTTTTTTGATTTTCTAAACCAGAGATTAAGTCTCTGGTTCCGCAAAAAGCTTTTGGATTTTCTCCCAATTGATCGCTGGATTCAGAGAAAGATGGTTTGCCAATCCTCTTAAGATATTGTGGATCTGTACACTGTTGTTCAAGTTTGGTGGGCTCCTTTGCTGATAGAGAAGGAGAGTTCTCCAAGGAATTGAAACACAGTTTTTGTTTTGAAACGTCACATATAATGCTTTCAGCCACAATGGCCTCCATAGGCCTCTGGTTTCCAACCTCAATTTCCTCTAACTTAATCTTCTGTCCATGGGAATTGATGGGAAACTGGGTTTGCAACTTGAACGGTAAAACATCAATCTGAAAATTTGTTTGATGTTTTCCAATAACTGCAGCTGGGCCTACGTGATGATTTATGGCTGAAACTTCCCCAGTTGCTTGAGAAGATTTTTCATGTCCCCTTGCGATAGGTGATACATTCAGAAAGTGTTTGCCCGAGGGATCGACATGTCTATTGACATTCTTAAGATCAACAAGATGACTGTTTGAATTCAATGCCAAAGTCAATTTGGTCGAGGGCTCCGAAAGCCACCCGGCAGTATATCTGAGCTGACCGGTTGCACTGGTCGATTGGATGATCAAAATCTCAAGAATCAGATGTCTAACCCACTTCATTCTTGCTGAGCTGACCATGACTGAAAAACAGAAAACTATCATGAATTTTGACTTTTTTTGGGTTCACAGATAAAACAGTCGTGAGTTTTGTAGATGAGATGCACTCCGATTGACATCCCTCGCAAAAACCAATCAAACTACTTGAGTATCGGGTGAAGGTTTGAGGAAGATTTTTGGTCGATTCTGAATCAGGAAGCCAGGCCAACACACATTTGAAAAAAGCCTTCTGTACAATGTAACTTGTAGGCAGCTGGAGAACCAGCGAGACACAATACCAGGGGAAACACGCAGCTGAATGAAGCCCAAACCACTATCGTTTATGACAACAACAAAGGCAAAACACAAACATAATTTGCTGTTTCGACCAAATCTACATGTTTTGGGTAAGCTTAACTTACTAAAGTGCCTCGTGTTCGGAGGGGACGCTGTCCCGCGGAGTCCCTGCGGGACAGTGTCAGACAGTGTCCCCTTCAAACAGAGAGGGGCTTCACATTTAAGTTAGGTTAAGCTTGCAGTTCAGCTTAACCAAAACATGAGCCTGGACTACGGTGCCCCGCATAAATTCTTGATTACCCCACACCCCAGACCAGCAAAGAAGACTTGAACTTTGGACTTCTGTCCACCCCACAACCAGATACTACACATTTTTGAGCTCTGCTAAAGTAGTAGAAATGTAAAACCAATTCTGGAACTCTCTGTGCTGCTGCGATTTTGTTGTCCTTTTGTGATGAACAAGACAGAATAGAAACTCATGTATAAGTATAAGAACAGTATGATGCAGTCACATGCACAATGTGCAGTCTGTGCTTGGAGGGTTGACAGTCTGCACTTACAGACCATAACCTTGAAACCACATGATTAAAAGGATGTGTATAGTAGCAGGGAAATTCAATTAATATGCTACTCACAGGCATGTATATTGATAATTTGCATGTACAGTGCCTAGACAGTGAAAAGTGGCTGCTTATTTTGGATTCCAGAGCCCCAAACCACAAATTTGAAATCATGAGACTTGGTCAGGTGATGCATAATAGGTTCCAAAAAATGAATATGAAATAATAAAAGCAAAAAATAAAGTTTCAAAATTTGTGAAAAATAAAAAATAAAATTGCTTTTTTTTCAAAAGCTTTGATATTAATCTTGGGAAAGTGTGAGTGCTGATGGAAAGAAAGAATGTAAAATGATAAGAATGATTATAAAGGAAAATTTTGGAAAAAATGGTTGCCATATGGTTCCAAACAACTGTTGAGTGGGACATTCACCAGCACACATTGTGGTAAAGCACTAGAATTTACTGTTTTGGCTCCAATCTGGACCACCAACCTGGCCAAACCTTTTTTGGTTCCAATTTTTTTCATTTATAATCATTCTTTCCATGTTCCATTCTTTCTTTCTCTCAGCACTCCCACTCCCCCAAAATGAATATCAAAGCTTTTGAAAAAAATTGAGTTTATTTTTTATTTTTCACAAATTTTCAAACTTTATTTTTTGCTTTTATTATTCCATATTCATTTTTTGGGAGCTATTATGCACCACCTGACCAAGTCTCATGACTTCAAGTTTGTGTTTCAGAGCTCTGGAATCCAAAATAAGCAGTCACTTTTCACTGTCTACCCACTGTACAGTGGGTGGACCTTT